TCTCTCGTTTCCTCCCCCCCGCCACGCCCCCCCCGCCTCTCCCTGTAGGAGTCTGGGACCTCAGAATCCAAACCTGATTCTGCTTCTTGGGTGTGTCCCTTATGGGTGCGAGGAGTTGAGATCTGCAGTTTGTTGAGTTAAGCTGCATGAGCGCATATGGTTCCTTTTGTGCCACTGGCACAGCTTGGGCGGTGATGTAAATTGAGTAGGGCGGGGTCTCAGGGAATCACCAGGGCAGAGCAAACAGCAATGGCGTCTCCAAGGCTTCTCGCCTCTCCGCGACTCCGCATCTCCGTGTCCCCGAGTGCCGGCAAGCAGCTCCTCGAGAAAGCCGCCCTCGCTTTCCAACCCACTGCAAGGCTGTCCCGCCTCTCCCTGTAGGGGTCTGGGACCTCAGAATCCCACCCCAAACAAGCTCAGTGGATTTGAGAGTTTGTAACCCCTTTCCATTGAAAAAAACCGCGCAGCCAGTTGCAGCCCGCCTGGCACGCGACTCCGTACCTCCGCTCTTGGCGCCTCTGCATATCCTACTCAGTCTCAATGCTCTTCTTTCTTTCCTTCCAGTTGTAGAACTTCCACTGGGCCAGCTTTCCCATAGTTCTGAACGATAGCTGTTTTGTCCTATAGTTGGTATTCTCAATGTTGTTGTGGGAGGCAGCATGCACAGGTCTGTACCCTATGCCGCCATCTTGGTTCTCTGTCACACCACAACTTTTTAATCCACTCATCTGATGGGCACGTGGGCTGTTTCCAATCTTAGCTATTGTAAATTGTGCTACGAACATAGGGGTGCATACATTCTTTGATTGGTATTTCTAGTTTCTTAGAATTTAGTCCTAGAAGTGGCAGTTCCATATTTAATTTTTTGAGGAAACTACATACTGTTTTCCATAATGATTGCACCAGTCTGCATTCCCACCAGCAATGTACTAGGGTTCCCTTTTCTCCATATCCTCGCCAGCACTTGTCATTTGTTGATTTATTGATGGTAGCCATTTGACAGGTGTGAGGTGGTACCTCATTGTTGTTTTAATTTGCATCTCTCTGAGGATCAGTGACTTTAAGCATTTTTTTCATATGTCTCTTGGCCATCTGTCCTCTTTGGAGAAGTGTCTATTTAGGTCTTTTGCCCATTTTTAATTGGATTGTCTTCCTTCTGTTAAGTTGTATGAGTTCCTTATATATTTTGGATATTAACCCTTTATCAGGTGTATCATTACCAAATATGTTCTCCCATACAATAGGCTTCCTTTTCATTTTGTTGATGGTTTCTTTTGCTGTGCAGAAGCTTTTTATTTTGATGTAGTCCATTTATTTTCTCCTTGGTTTCCTTTGTCTTAGGAGATGTATCTGTAAACATATTGAAGTCCTTTATCCATTTTGAGTTTATTCTTGTATATGGTGTAAGTTGGTGGTCTAGTTTCTTTTTTTTTTTTTGCATGTATCTGTCCAATTGTCCCAACACCATTTATTGTAGAGACTCTCTTGACTCCACTGTATGCTCTTGCCTCCTTTGTCAATATTGAGTGTAATGGCATGGGTCGGTTTCGGAGTTCTCTGTTTTGTTCCATTGACCTATATACCTGTTCTTGTGCCAGTACCAGCCTGTTTTGATTACAGTGGCTTTGTAGTATAACTTGAAATCTGGTATTGTGATTCCTCCAACTTTGTTTTTCTTTCTCAAAACTGCTGCAGCTATTTGGGGACTTTTTTGATTCCATATAAATTTTTGGAGTACTTGTTCTAGCTCTGTGAAATATGCTGTTGGTATTTTAATAGGGATTACATTGGATAATGTGGACATTTGAATGATGTTGATTCTAATAATCCATGAAAACAGTATAATCTTCCACTTTTTTATATCTTCTTCTATATCTTGTTTCAACATCCTGTAGTTTTCCAAGTACAGGTCTTTTGCCTTCTAGGTTAAGTTTATTCCTAAGTATCTTAATTTTTTGTGTGTGTGCAATGGTAAATGGGATTGTTTGTTTAGTTTCTCTTTCTGAGAATTCATTATTGGTGTATAAAAAAAGCCATCGATTTTTGGGTGTTGATTTTGTATCCTGCTACATTGCCAAATTCATTTATTAAATCTAGTTTTTTGGTGAAGTCTTTTAGAGTGTTCTTACTTCCTCCTTCCCAATTTGGATGCCTTTTATTTCTTCTTGTCTGATCACTGTGGGTAGGACTTCCAATACTGTGTTTAATAAGAATGGCGAACACAGACATCCCTGTCTTGTTCCTGATTGTAGGGGAAATGCTTTTAATTTTTGCCCATTGAGTATGATGTTTGCTGTAGGTTTGTCATATATAGCCTTTATCATGTTGAGGTATTATCCCTCTATTCCCACTTTGCTGAGAGTTTTTATAAACAATGGGTGTTGGATTTTGTTGAATGCTTTTTCAGCATCTATTGATATGATCATAATCATAATAATGATTTTATCTTTCAGTTTGATGTGACGTATCACATTTATTGATTTACTAATATTGTACCAGCCTTGCATCCCTGGATTAAATCCCACTTGGTCAATGTGTATGATCCTTTTAATATATTGCTGGATCTGATTTGCTAATATTTTGTTGAGGATTTTTAGCATGTATGTTCATCAGGGATACTGGGCTGAAGTTCTCTTTCTTTGTAGTGTTTATCTGGTTTTGGAATTAGGATAATGCTGGCCTCATAAAAAGAGCTTGGAAGTGTTCCTTCCTCTTGGATTTTTTGAAATAATATGAGGAGTATAGGTGTTAGTTCTTCTTTGAATGTTTGTTAAAACTCCCCTGTGAAGCTGTCCAGACCTGGGTTTTTGTTTGTTAGGAGTTTTTTTGATTACTGCTTCAATTTCATCAATTGTTATTAGCCTATTCTGGTTTTCTGATTCCTCCTGATTCAGTTTAGGAAGATTATATTTTTCTAGGAAATTGTCCATTTCATCCACATTGTCCAGCTTGTTGGCATATAGCTGTTCATAGTATTTTCTTGCAATTCTTTGGATTTCTGTGATGTCAGTGGCTACTTCTCCACTTTTGTTTCTGATTTTATTTGGGTCATCTCTCTTTGTTTCTTGATGAGTCTGGCTAACAGTTCATCAATTTTGTTTATCCTTTCAAAGAACCAGCTCTTGGTTTCATTGATTTTTCAGTCTCTATCCTATTTATTTCTGCTCTAATCTTTATTATATCCTTCTTTCTACTTACTCTGGGATTTTCTTGTTGTTCTCTTTCTAGTTCTTTAAATTGTAGGGTTAAATAGCTTTTTTAAAAAAAATTTTTGTTTTATTCCTTAAAGTATTAAAAAGAGTATTACATATGCCTTTTTTCCCCCCTCCAAAAATAGCTTATTTTTTGAGGTATGCCTGTAGTGCTATGAACTTCTTGCTCAGGACTGCTTTTGCTGTGTCCCATAGGTTTTGGGTTGTTGTGTGTTCATTTTCATTTATTTCCAGGAAGTTTTTGATTTCTTTCT